TATTTGTGCAACCGCATTCGTTTCATTGTGTATTTGTTTCGGGCTTAGCATCACCGAGATGCATTGTTGCGAACATGTAAAAGGTCCCACTCTCGAACCGATGATTGATTGAATTATGAACGTAGTTGTCGGACCAAAGAAGCAGTAGCAGCAGCAGCGAAAAAACGTGCTTCACGAAAAGTTCATGCAGTTATAAAATCCTGAATCACCAATGGTTTTTTACGAGAAGAAAAACCTCTAAAATCGGGCCTGATGTGCACAGGCACACACACACACACACACACGCGCGCGCGCGACCGTGTATGAGTGTGTACAAATGGAGAAATAGTTTTGTTTTTGGCAATATAATTTACTCACGCTTCACTAAGTTTGAGTTTTGTTTTCGCCGAATTTAGTTCAGTAAATTTCCATTGCGAAAAGAATATTTGCAATGGCATCAATGTGTGTGTGTGTGTGTGTATGTTGGGCCGAGTTTGGAACTCACCCTTTCACATGCGTTCTCTTTTCTATTTGTGTTTGCCGTGCACATGTTGTGCGAAAGATTGCAATGGCAATGTTTCGGTGGTGTGTTGCTCATTGTATACGTCTGTGATTTTTACAATCTCGTTCAAATTGTTTGGCAACTCGTTTTTTCCCAACTCTCTTGCTATTTTTGTACTTCGTGTTTCTCTCTCTCTTTCTCTCTCTCTCTCTCTCTCTCTCTCTCTCTCTGTATGTTTTCTGCTCCCGGATGAATATGCTTGGTGCTATTTTTCATTATTCCCATTTTCGTGCTATGTGTGTGTTGGCTTTGTTCTCGAAAATTATTCGAATAATTTGCGATTTCGCTTGGCATTGCAATCTGCAGTTTGTTTTTGTTTATAATCGTAAGTGTTTGATCCAAATAAAAACATCCATCTCAAGCCATTCTGGTGGTGTTGTTTGGTTTTTGTTCTATATATTTGTGCTGGTGCCATTTTTGTTATGTGTCATATGATGCATCATGGTATCAAATCGAAAAATCGTGTGCTACAATTAAACATCATTTTCGAGCTATTAACGTTAATTTGTGTTTCATTTGTTTTAAACTCGTTACATTGACCACATGCGTTTTTTTTCTTACGTTCGTTCCGTTTTATTTTCGATCAATTTAATTATGAAATGTGATAAATGCCTCATATTTTAACCTCTTGAGAGGCTTACGCTATCGGTTCGTAATTGTTCTGAAAAAGTATCAATTTGTTTAATAAAAAAACGCCTGCCTATAGGCAAACCATTCGGTTCCTGGCTTTAGCTTCAACTCTCTCTCTCTCTCTCTCTCTCTCTCTCTCTCTCTCTCTCTTTCTCTTTCCTTTTTCCTTTTTCAGTCGCTTTTTTGCACATAAATAATTAGTTTGTTGGCAACAATTAATAGAATGGACGAGTTAAAGCTGTTTTTTTTTATTTCTCTCGCACTCAATTCGGTTTAATTCTTTTGGGGATTGACCAAAAATATAATTTATCAATTTGGTGCATCGATAGGCTGCTTTCGAATATATATCGTTTCGGCTACATCGTCACTTTGTCCCATGTCGCTTGACGTTTGATAAATTCAAATAATTGTCTGTGTTGCAAATAGATCTCATTTGGCGCATTGACGGGATGTGAGGATATTGTTACATGTTTATCGACTCATGTACATGTAAAGATCAAATATCTGATTTCTGAGTTACTTATTTGCAAAGTTTCATTCGGGTGCAGTGTATATAATGAGTTGTCATTATCAATGCCACCACTCAATCGGATCAATAATTGTGTTTGTGTGTCTGTTTCTTCTTTTGTCCGTCATTTGAAACGGTTATTTCATTACAACAGTTATGTTTGTATGTTTGTTCAAATAACATGTATGCGTGCATTCAAGTAACGAGTAATTCTATTCTATTCTCTGCTTTTGTCATAGTTTTTCAACCGAACACATATAAATATACATTTATGTGAGATGACGGTTTTTCGAAAGATACACAATTGGTTTTGAAAAAAAAATTCTTCAATTCAATGAGATAGAATTATTTCAGACCCGTTCAAACTGGGTTGCATGCAAATTGTACTAATTGAAGAGCACAATGCCACCGCATTGAATTCATACGAATACCGGCTACAAATTCAATCGAATCCATCGTTTTTGCAATTTTAATTTGCCGTCTGAATCTAGGGGAATATCACGCTCCTGAATCTTGTGAGATATTTGAGATATTTGAAATAAACATCAATTGTATGATTTATTTTCGAATATTTCGAATAAATAAATCAGATTTTTGTGGATTTTGGAGATATTTGAGATTTTTCGCATTAAATCCAAATAAATACATTTAAATATCATTCATAATCACAAAAATCCACAATATTCCGCCGTATTCACAAATATCCACCATATTTCATACGACAGATTCTTAAAGATAAATTGGATTTTTTTTTGAAATATTTGAAATAATTTAAGCGGGATATTCCCCTAGGTCTGAATACCACTTAAACATCAGGTATTCAGCGTGTTTAAATCCACATCACAGATCTCGCCCACGGTAATTGAATACAAACGAAGATAGATTTAGTGAGAGTGCGAATATAGTTTAGCACGGCAAAAATATTGAACATAAAGGTCGAAATGAGCGATTGTGTTGTTGTTGTTGTTTTTGACGCCTGCACCAAGGCATCGCTGATGTGTGTGTGTGTATGTGTATTGCTGTTGATGTTATCCACGCCAAGTCTCCGACGCAAAAACACTTGTTGTGCATGTGTAATTTATGCCGAAATGTTTATGTAGCGAACGACGTCAATGTTAAAGAGATGAATCATGATATGTATTTATTGATCACTCTTTGGATCGCTTCAATATATTTTGGTGCATCTGTATCACGGTTTTCCTCCTATTCAAATACATGATGCTCTAGATCGGTTATTGACATGTTTTATTATCTATGATGCAAATAAAAAAAACAACATTGCCACATGAATTCGTTCAAAAATGTTAATAAAACATTTTGGTTCTGGCTTGTGCCATATTGATTGAAACTATACCACCATAAAATACTGCTTTCTCTGAACGTCAAGCGAACTAGAGAAACCAGTTTGCAAACCGAAATATTCCATTCGAATTTTGAAATTGGGCTTTCTAGTTTCCGATGAAATTTTCTCGTATCATCATTCGGTTTGGCATATTCTGCCATGGCAAAAGACACGATACTATTCAAAACTTCGATGCTTTTATGGTTTCGGCTGGTTTGTTTACCCAAATCAAGTCATTTTCAGAACCGAATGGCGTCAAATCTTCACTCTCGATACACCAGCAACTACGTGTGGGTTGAACAGTTGCGCAATTTCTACCATTGAGAAAACAAATGGAAGAATTTCGTCCGACAAACAATTGAAACAGGTGGAAAAATGGTAAACAAAATGTATATTTATATATTGGCAAATCATCAGGTGAATGTGTGTGCATGTGGAGATTCAATCTGGAAAAATTGATCGAACGGCCAAATATTTGATCAAGAGAGATAGACGAAAAAAACCAAATAAACGAGCAACGCATGCAACAAATATAATTCTCATGCTTCGCTCATGACGGTATCAGATGCCTCGGAATGAGGTTAACATATTCAGAGGTTACAATAGATTCTAGGCATTAATCAATTTACTTTACCTATATTCTGTACAATAGCTTCTTTTCAACCGACTCCACTAATTCATGTTTCCATGTGAGAATCGTACAGTGCTGATTGAGCTGCAAATATGATAAATTCTTTTGTTCATATTATTTTTTTTTGTATATTTTTTGAGTTATGCTTCGTTTGAACTTAATTTCAGTTTCAACAACACTCACACCATACAAGTGAAAAGAGTTTTTTCATCTGCAATGAATCTATAGATACAGATATATATATATAGTTTTTTTTTCGTTGTTTCATTTGTTGTTATTTTCAACTTGAATACAATAAAAAAAAGCTTTGCTACCACAGTTATGTGAATTATTTACAAAAGTATATCGCTGTTTTGTTTTTCTTGTTTGTTCTATTTTCAGTAGAAACCGATTCCACGTATTAGAACATTTCTTAACCAGATTAAATTAGAAAATTGCTGTCCAAACGAATATACATGCCAAATTGCAAATTATGTGTGATACAAATTCACCGTACAGTAGTCAATTGAATGATTCACACCAGAAAAATAAAATTATGAAGAATTATATCACATTAAGAAATGTTCTCGAGAATATTCGATGCCACTTAGGCCGTGTTCTGTGCTGGGCTCGGATCGGCAAAAAAAAACAGCTTGATCAAAAATTGTTTGCATCACATTAGCATCACTTGTGTTGTGTGACACTCATTCGCATGGCGTTGTGCCGTTAGTTTCAATTTGCATGACATCGTCTCACATTCATGACGGAAGTTCAACATTCTTGAAAGCGTTTCGCACGAATTATCGAAAATAAAAAGATCACATCAAATGCTCTGGACCACACGATGCACATCCAACAAACCTTGAATTCCGTGCTGCGGTTCCGTATGTCCAAGGTGATAACTCTGCCCAAAACCAACGATTTCTCTTTCTCACAACATCTTGGCACAGCCACATGAAATTTTAAAGCCACACACAAAATATATATACCAATTAGTAGACAACACCAATGCTTTCAACATCCATACACTTCTAGAACGTCGAAAATTTTCGTTCAGTGATGCGTTCGCTACGTGTGCTGTACACTTTTGCGTTCATTATGTCATGTTTAATGAAATGTTGCTGCTGCTCTGATCATTTTTGATTAATGTATGATGAATTCAAAAACCATTTGTTTATGACAATATGACGACGCATGCGTCAGATTACAATTGCAAACAATGGGTGATTGTTTAATATTTACTTTAGCTGTGTCTCATTCATCGCAGTTGGCTATTAATAGTTTATATTATTTTCTACTAATCGCATTGCCTGAAACTATTTCTGAAATGAGCAAAAACCGTTAGTGTATGAAATAAAAATGCACGTAATTTGATTTGTTTCCAAAAGTTTTCTTTAAATTTTTTGTTTCTGTTTTTTTTTTCCTTCAATTTATTGTTACACACGTGCTGTTGAGTGGTAGTAGAAAATCAATCTAAATTCTTTTTTTTTCTCTTATTTACTTATTGCTACGGAGAAAATTGGACATTCATTATCTGTACGTTATTCTTTTGTTTTGAAAGAAAAAATAAAACGAAAACAAGTTGAGTGCAGTACAACCGACGGGTCGAAAATCATCAACATTTCATTTTGAATCGATGTGTATTTATATATCATCAGGTTATCTGGCTGGTAACCGTTCTGCGAAATGCAATCTCAACAGATCGGCGGTATCACATTATTGAACTAAAACAAAGAACAACGGCAAAATTACGGCGCAATAAATACCAACTCTTGCTCTACGAGGGTGATGCGACAGAGAGGATTCGATTTTGAACTAACATACACATACTATTCATATCATCTCAGGTGACGATGATACATCGGGGGGCGGTACATATATAAAATTACTCAATTTACACTATCGCTAAAATTTCACAACCGTTCCGTTTTGTTTATTCGGTTTTTAATTCACACTAATTATATTCGGTTGAGAAGAGCAAAAAATTCGAGACGATTCCGGAAGATTCAAGAAATAGAAATCGGATATTGTCTTAGTATCTTTTTTGAGTCATGTGCCTTTTGAATTCTGAGAAAATTAAATTAAAGTTGTTGATGACACAAAAACGGAAACTCTGTTGTCATGAAACAATTCGATTCATCTCTGTATGAATCGAATCGGGTGGCTGAGTTCAGTGAGCAAGCACACATATATATTACATATAATGGGATCCATTGAATTCGTTTATGTGATTGACGTATTTGCTTTTATTCTCTCTCTCTCTCTCTCTTTCTCTCTCTCTCTCTCTCTCTCTCTCTCTCTCTTTCGTGATGTTTCGTTTTTTTTCAATTTCTTCAGACCATAACTTTGATGTGACGCGTATTCTACAGTTAAAATGTGAGATTAAGTCATTCAACACCTCCACACACACTTATATATTCTATTCGAACAGCATTTCGTTTCGTTGTTGTTGTTGTTATTCAAAAGCATTTCTCAATCGTATCAATTAGTTAGAAAATTGCCTTCCAAACTATTTTAAATGGCTCGCATCGTGCTCATTTCACAATCGATTTTCAATTTAATCGATAGAATTTGCTTCGAAATTGTCATTAAATATGACATTATCAACGGTTATTTAGCATTTATTACGGTTTGGTATCAGGAATAGGAAGGAGGTGTTGATTTGAAACTAAACAATAAAAACATATGACGATTAAAAAAGGCGTTAATTAAATGTCTCCAGTAAATCGCATGGATTTATCCTTGACAATCCAAGCGATTTCTTTTCTGCTGTTTCGTCGTTGGAATTCATTCGATAGCCACTATGAACATGAAAAGTAATATGGATTATGAAAATCATACTGCAGTAAACGCGAAACAGATTGAGAATTGAATAAGAGCTAAAACACTTAAACATATGCAAAGTTATGGATGCTGTGAAATTGGTTTAGATGACTGGAGATTTTTTTTTAGTTTGCCTAGAATAGGCTTGCGATAGTAATTGAAACTACTGTGTACACTGAAATGTTGAATATCGCAAATGTGGTGGCGCTCGCTTTTTGATGGTCAGGGAATGGTGCAAGTGGCACAGTTGTTGGCGAAATTAATGTTTGGTTGGGTACCATACTACTCGTTGCGTTTGTGCTTGGTACATTTGTGGTGATATCGGGCATTGGAGCCAATGGGATTCCATTGGGTGCTTGCTCTGGTAAGGGAGCTAGCGGTACAATTGGAGCCAATGGGACTGTATCACCTACGCCACTACGTACTTCAGTTTGAGTCTGAGGTGGTACAGGTTGAACAGCTGGTTGACCTACGGCTGGATTGGCTGGTGCCACGACTGTGGTCGTTTCACCTCCAGCTACTATTTTTCAAAAAGGTGAGAAAAGAAAATGGTTAAGTTATTGAATTTGGACGCTTCGCTGATACAATCAGGTAAAAAAAATATTTATTTTTGAACATTTACCTGGAGCAACTGGAGCAACTGGAGCAACTGGAGCAATTGGAGCAGCTGGTGCAGCGGCCGGGGCAGCGGCTGGTGCAGGTGCATTTTCATGAACGATAACGGTTTTGTGTTCGCTATCTGGTTTCAATGCGCCATAAATCGCATTTCCAGCTATGCTTCCAGCTGCAGCACCTGCCAATGTTTGGAGGAATCCACCACCTCCGCCGCCCGATGGTTGAGGTACTCCCGCTTGCGGTTGTCCATAGAAATTGTTGATCACCGGTGCCTGTTGACCTTGTGGAGCGTAGCTTTGTTGTGGATATCCGCCAGCTGGATGACCATTATAAGGCTGTTGAGGATAGTTTCCGCCTGCATTATGCACTATTACGATAGAAAAAGTGGAAAAATTCACCATTAAAATCGAATATACACTGTTCATATAGTAAATTTTCAGCGAAATTAAGCCAAATTCACTTTGCCGACGCAAAAAAATAAATAAATCGATAAACAAACACAGCAAAGCACGAAGACTGAATAAACAATGTTGACATGAATCTAGCAATGCAAGCAAATTGCCATATTGACAATACTCTGGAGGAATACTGTACTTGGTTTATTGGCACGATTATGTATAATTGGATCATTTGCAAGCGCGCGCGCATTTACATGCGAAATCCTGCAACATATTTCATGCGGATAAATAATTAATCGGATTGTGTTTTATTTTTGTTGGACGTACGAGAAATGTGTCACTAAAACATATCAATCGACTGATTGAATATCTCAATGATTCCCAATCTAGAGTGACTCAATATTCGTTTGCCCAATAATGTTCATTTAATTTGAAATCATTTAAATCATTTAGGCCCTCCAATAAATTCGATGAAATGAAACTTACTTGGGTAAGCGGCTCCATTTGGCTGGTATGCTGGTGGGTGTTGATGTCCCGTTGGATCATTCGCATGGAATCCAGCATTCGGGTTTTGTTGTGAGTAGGGTGGTGGTGGTCCTGCAGGAACGTGTGAATTCACTGCAGGATTAGCTGAATATGGTGGAGGTGGTCCATTGAAGCCAGTATTTGCATTTGGTGTGTAAGGCGGTGAATGCTGCGAATTTTGTGGATGAGCCGGATATGGCAAAGCTGAATGTGTGTTGGATGCCGTTCTCACTTGTTCGGGTGTATTATGTGAGGGTATATTCCATCCAACTGGATGGTTGTTGTTATTATTATTGGGCAATGCCGGCGCACTTGGTGCAAATTGTTGATGGGCTTGTTGTTGTTGGACGGGCTGATGTTGCACGGGCTGATGATGATGTTGCTGTGCGGGCTGTTGATGAGGAGTATTTTTATGGCTATGTGAGACACCATGAGTTAACGCCACATGATCGTAGTTCGGGGTTTTCACTTTGTTGCCACCGCGACGTGGACTCTTTCCTGCGTCAACATTAACATTACTCAATAACACAATTAGTGCGGCTGACCAGACGATTGTTGATTTTCGAACATTCATTTTGATGGTCGGCGTGTATTGTTTATCTCAACACAGTTGAAACTATCGATATGCACTGAAATCTGAAGGTGGAAGAAAAAATCACAAGATCACACAACATTAGTTATAACAAACAATACCAACTGCTACAACTATAACCACCATAACAATAATAAATATTCAATGAAAACGGATGATAAAAAAAATGCGAACAACAACTTTCACAATCACTGATTCGAACGGCTAAAAGCCAAACAGCATACACGATACGTAACTACTAAATGGTTACATAGAAAATTGGTGAACTCAACTCTTACACTATCTTGATATTGAGCTAAATTAGTAAACACAATAGAAAAATCGAAAAAAAAAAATTCAACGACACAAGGTATTACACAGCTCAATGCCGAAAAAGGTCGTTAATTTTTATGCCAACTCAAAGAGAGTGAGAGAAAAAAAAAAAGTGTAATATTCACATTTGACTTTTATCGAATGGCTCACTACCTGTATGTTTAACTATTCGCACACCAGATATACTGATACACAACAATAACTGAAAGTTAACAGACTCGTACGGGTGCTGTTCCCGAACAGAAAATAAAAATGATACGAATGAAAAAGAAAAATTAAATTAAAATAGTCGTCAACTAAAATGAATCTTCGCTCGTTCGTATACTGGGACTGACTGCGCTACTTAAACCGAATAATTTTGATGTCTAGAGAGAGAGACTTTAACGAATATGACTAGTATTTGTTCATGTTTTTGTTGAAGCTTCACGCTTGTTCGAGCATTCATTTGCCGCGCGTTTTTGTTGTTGTGTGAGGCACAGACAAGCAACAGCAGCAGCAACAGCAGCAGCAACAGCAACGGTTGTAGAGAGTAGTAACAGAGAAACAATCGTATATTGCACACACATACATCACCGTCGAGTTGCGAATGAGATAAATAGAAGAAAATAGCAGACAATCCGAAGCAATGGTGTGCCACAACAACGAACGAAAGCAACAATATCAACGAAAAAAAAAACGAAGAGAGAACATGGTATAGGGTAAAAGAGAGATGCATATGGTGTGTTGGCTTGAAGAAAACATTTCACTAGTACATCGAAATGGTCGGTCATAAGTGTGTGTATACATTAGTTCGTTGTAAATGTACTTTTCTACTAGGAAATGATTGATATGCGTTGCACTATTTTGACTGAGGCAATCGCTTGTATTTTCCATCTCATGCGCCCGTATGACATTTTTGGTGTCGATTATGTATAGAAATAGTGTATGTATGTGGCATGCATCCGTGGCCCCCCTCCACAGCCGACTGAAAATTCAAAATTGGTCTGCTGATTTATCTTTTTTTTTGCGCTGTCACAATACACGTATTGTTTAGGTGGATTTTATCATATATTTTTTTTCGCTTCAAAATGATAAAAGGTAGAACAACAATTAAAAATGAGTCGATGAGGTGTTATCGATAAATTTAATCTACACCATTGTTGCCACATACACAAGCAAAAAATTACATTATTTCGTTGTATTTATCTACAATTTAAACTTCGGTCGGTTTGTACATGGTCATTTAACAATTTTCAATATGGTATTTAATATCCCATTTCTGCGCCATTTTTGTTGCTGAATCACTTAATGATATTCAAATTTATTTATTATCCAATCGATGACAGTAATTGTTGCTCGGCAACCGGGCCACCAAGAAAAAAGAATGATCCGGCTGGCGAAAAGGAGCTCTCTTCGCGAATCGTCGTTATAATTCGTAAAATGCAATCTAAGTATGGTATTTCAATTGTTCTGTTCTTGTTTTTGGCTACTAGACATGAAGCACCGAATTGCACCGAACTACGATGGAATTATCAAATAAGCGTGAATCATTTATTATATATTGATGAACTCTGCATTCCATCGAAAACAATCTACTAATAACTGAATTAATATGATGAAATTTTAATACAAAATTACTGTTTTGCTTCTCGAACAACAACACACATATCGATGACTATGTTTCACTTAATTAATTCATTAAATGCTTGGTGTTCACACAACTCGTGCGTATTTATTCAATGTTACGACGGCTGTTCTGACGTTAAAACACAACGTTGACTCATTGTCGACATTTCATTTCTACGTATGACATATAGGGCGATAAGAATCAAGTAAGAAACGAAAACGAAAACGAAAAGAAAACCAACGCCAAAATAGAAAAGTAAAAAAAACTCGAGTCATGCAAACGGTTTGCATTATTTGTGAAAATTTCCCCGTTTTTACACGTTCAACGAAAATTTCTTTTGCTTTATTATGATTAACCAAATGCATCGATCGCATGAAACTACTAATTGATAATTGATTAGTCATCATGTTATATTCATGTTCGCTTGTTTGAATTCTCTGGGCGCGTTGAAATGTCGAAATTGTTTACTATAGTAAATCAATTATGGTGAAATTATCTTATTACGGAAAATCAATTAAAGCATTTTTTTTCGAACGCATAATGTCACACATCCATCCCGGTTAATAATCGTTCTCGCATTTGCGACACAATGTATGGGTTTGTGTGTGCATGTGCATGCTATGCGATTTGCACATATCACGATGAATTTAATCACGTGAAATTAATAATTATAATCACTTAAACTTTCCACTTATTATGTTATCTACTATCGATTCTGTCTGTTTTTCTGCATTGGGTCAATAGATTTCGTTCATATACTTCTATGATTTATATATGGCAAATGTATAATTCTTCCTTATTCCCATATAAAAATGCACTTTAGCACTTTTTTGCCACCTTCCAACTGTGAACAGTTCAATGGAACAGAAGAAAAAACTTGGAAAAAAGTTGAAGAAGAAGATGATGACGGAAAAAAGAAATGCGCATTCACACCAAAATGGTGTGCAGAAAAAGTGCAAATTCCGGAAAATGCCGAATTGAGTAGTGGGTTTTTCATTGCACTCTCGCATAAATTGATTTAATGCATCGAAAAACATAGTCGTTCATCGACTAAATTGGAATCTAATTGCTGATGCAAGCAACTAAAGTTCGATGGCATTACGACAGTTTTGCTGTGTGATGCAAGAAAAGACAAATCGAATGAACCGCCGGCCCACGTATGCGCGCACGCACACCCTTAACTGATGTAGATATCTATCTCTCTGGTCGATAAGTTTCAAGTGTGATTTTCGAATATTCGAAACGGCAAATAATTGATTTGAACTCAATTTCAAATTTTTGGCACATAATAGGATGATAACATGGTAATTAATGAGCTTGCATTGATCGGCTTTGTGTGTGAGAAGAGTGAATGCCTCAACATATCTCACCAACATTCGATTTGAGATTAAATGGATTTCGTTCGCATTTATTCAAATTGATATCGGCTTTGATTCAATTAAATGCTTCAATTTTCGTGAAATATTCTTCATTGGTGCGCCCACATAGTTGGTTTTCACTCAAGTGAACTTGAATGGTATTCAAATGCGCACATAGCAAATAGCGCATCAAAACAATTCAAATAATTCGAATTGCGATAGTATGGTATTAGTAGATAGTATATTTCAATGAAGATGTAGTGCTGCATGTTTTGAATGTTTCGTCAAAACTTTCGATGCGAAAGCACATTCACATCCAATTTGAATGTTGCCGAAGCTCTGGTATTGCAGTTTCAGTCGATGAGAAATGTAAAAGCCTTTAACATTTACATCAAGTGGAGACGGTTCACACATATGTTTGAATACTGTTTTTTTTGTGTGCTGTACAACGCTGATTAAACGAAGTAAACTTTGACAAAGTCTCGTTTCATTAAATAGTTATAGAATCAATCAAGTTCGTTTGGGTTTCAAGGTCGAAAATAATTAAAATCAATGGAATTGAGCTGCATTTCATATGATTGAGTAAATGGTTCAATTGCAACATATTATGTTATTTGTTGAGCGTTTGAATTAAAACATCGCCAGATCGAGTTGAGACCAACTTCGCGACTAATTTTCTATATATCTGTCACGTCAAATAATTCCGTGTATACCATAACCTCACATTCCGAACACATTTGCAAATTTTATACAAAGTGGCTCTTTTATCATCACATAAGCTTATAAAGTTGTTTTAACTTGCTCTACATTTCGCAGCATTTCTGTTTTGTTTATTTTAACATAATTCAAGTGAAAAAAAAATGGGTAAAGCTAAGAAAGGAAAGAAGGAGATTATGTAAGTATAACAAAACTATAAAACATATTCATCAAAACATCGCATTGTTGTGTACATTCAGATGGCAAATTAATATAGTGTGTGCAGTTTGACTGTTGTAATTGTTGATGTGTCAAATTTCTGTACTAGTGAATTGAATGTGATCGGTGCTTGTATTTATTTACATCCGACGTTTTTTTTTCTGTAGTTCGGTCTCTGAACGAAATTTTTCGATTTTTTTTTAGCAATGAGGACGAGTCAAAAACGAATTTAGCTGCTGACAGCGATTCGGAACCAGAAGTTACGGTGACCAAGACAAAAGAGAAGAAACCGAATAAGAAAGTCAAGGCAGCAACAAGTGAAAGTGAAAGCGAGGTCGAAGAAACAACAACAAAACCGTCGAAAAAGGCAAAGGAACCAGTCAAAAAGGGTAAAGGTAATAAAAAGAAAAACGCCAATGATAGTGACGTTGAAATGGATGGAGGTGGCAAAAAACCTGGCTTCAGCCTTTTGTTAGACGATGACAGCGACGATGATGATATTAACGTACAACCGGAACCACAATCGGACGATGAGGATTTGGTGATTGCAAAGACCAACAAAAAGAAAAACCAATCGAATGCAGGTGAAAATGCGGGCAACAAAAAAGGAAAGAAGGCAAAGAAAAAGCGCAATGACAGCGATGAAGACATCGATGCCATGTTGGCTGAGTTGGCATTAGAGTATGCTGGTGAAAAGCCACCACCGACCGCTGAAAAGAAACAAGAACAGCCAGAGGCCCAGGATGACAACGAAGATGGCGAGGATAGTGCGGCTAAGAGTGCAGCTCAGAAGAAAAAGGAGAAAAAGGAACGGCAAAAATTGAAACAACAACAGGAAAAACAACAGCAACAATCCACTGAAACCGATGCCACGAACGAGGTAAATTTCAATCTGAAAATTTTGATATTCGAGTTTAGTTGACAAAGCCAATTGAATCATTGTAGGATACTGCTGCCGCTGCACCACCGACCAAAAAGGAAAAGCCGAAGAAAAAGGAAAAAGAAATGAAAGCCACACCGACGGAAGAGGTTGAAGCTGGACCATCGAATGAGACCGTTGAAACGACCGAAGGCACCGACGACAAGAAAAAGAAAAAGAAGGGCAAGGCCGATAAAAAGGAAGAAGAAACCAAGGAAAAAGATAAGAAAAAGAAAGGACCGAGCCAAGCTATGGTTGCTGCAATGCAAGAACGTCTCCAAAAAATCAAAGAAGAAGAAGAACGACAAAAGGTATGTGAACTCACATGTTGCTCATCAATTATGTTTATTGAGATCCCAATACTAATGAAGCAAAATCTATTTTATTTGTGTCTTCATTAGAGAGAAGCGGAAGAAAAGATGAGGCAACACGAAGAAATTGAACGATTGCGTTTAGAGAAAGTGAGATTAGAGGCTGAACGCAAGGAAAAGAAAAAGCAAAGAGAAAAGGAGCGCAAAGAAAGACTTAAGGCAGAGGGTAAATTGTTGACCACAAAGCAAAAACAAGATCAAGCCCGTGCTCAAGCTATGTTGGAATCGTTGCGAGCACAAGGTATTGAATTGCCCGAGGCCGGTGCCAAGAAACCGCGGCCTGGAACACGAATTCGTCCAAATAAGAAGAACCAGCAGCAAGCTAATCAAACACCTTCCGAAGAAAAAGATGAACAAAAATTCGATGAAGCGTCCGCTCAATCGGAAGGAAAAACGGAAACTGCACCTGAGCCAAGCGAAGAAGAAAAGGTGAAAGATTCATGGGATGCATCGAGCTCAGAGGATGAATCGTCTGAAGTTACCGAGCCAGAGCCTGCCAAATCGGCACCAACGACCGCAAGCAAAGCTCCAAACAAGGATGCAACGTCAGAGGACAGCGAATCAGAGGATTCGGATGAAAGCGACGATGGGAGCGATGATGAAGAATCTGAAGATGAGGATACGAGAACTGAGGCGGAAATTAAAAAGGAAAAAGCCTGGCAACGCATTATGGTAAGTTGATTTTCCATTCAAATATGAAAAAAACCGAATGAAATAATGTAAGAGCGTCTTAATTTTTTCCTCACTTTGCTTTAGAAACGTCGTCATGCAGCCGAACAAAAGAAAACCCTTGAAGATCTCCGGGCGGCCGTGGTTTGTGTTTTAGGTCATGTAGATACGGGTAAAACAAAAATTCTCGACAAGTTAAGACGCACTCATGTACAAGATTCCGAAGCCGGTGGTATCACTCAACAGATCGGTGCCACAAATGTGCCCGTCGATGCGATTAAGGAACAATGTAAAGTGGTGAAAGGAGTAAGTGGATTGAAATCGATTTGATTCCATCAAAATTGGAAATTAAAACTAAGCCCAATTTCATTCGATTCTCATTGACATTTTTCAGTCGGCCGATATGGTCTACAAACTTCCTGGTCTTCTGATTATTGATACACCCGGTCACGAATCGTTCAGTAATCTTCGAACGCGTGGATCGTCTTTATGTGATATTGCAATTTTAGTTGTTGATATAATGCACGGTTTAGAGCCACAAACCATAGAATCAATCAATATTTTGAAATCGATGAAAACCCCATTTTTAGTTGCGCTAAATAAAATTGATCGTCTGTACGATTGGCAAACCATTAACCGGAAAGATGTGCGAGATATCCTAAAGAGTCAAGCGATCAATACACAAAATGAATTTGAAAAGCGTACAAAAGATGTTATTTTACAATTTGCCGAACAAGGTTTGAATGCGGCTCTATTCTACGAAAATCCCGATCCACGTTCATACATTAATTTGGTGCCAACGTCTGCCATAACCGGAGAAGGTATGGGCAACTTGCTGTATTTAATTGTTGAATCGTGTCAAACATGGTTGGCCAAACGATTGATGTACAGCGAAGAGCTGCAGGCAACTGTTCTCGAAGTAAAAGCTATCTCCGGTTTGGGCACGACAATCGATTGTATTCTGATCAATGGTAAACTGCGCGAGGGTGAAACAATGGTGGTGGCCGGTACAGATGGACCGATCACAACGCAAATTCGTTCACTGCTGATGCCGGAACCATTAAAAGAGCTTCGTGTGAAGAATGCCTACAAGGAATACAAAGAAATAAAAGGAGCACAGGGTGTTAAAATTGCCGCTAAGGAATTAGAAAAAGCGATAGCTGGCCTTAATGTATACATTGCCCATAAACCGGATGAAGTCGATATTTGCAGGTCAGTTTTGGATGAAAAAAAAATACTGTGAAAATGTCAAATCGAATTTCAATAACCAATTTATCATGGTCGTTTCAGAGAGGAGGTGGCCAAAGAGCTGCGGTCAGCACTTAGTCACATAAAATTGAGCTCGGAAGGTGTGTACGTTCAAGCATCGACACTAGGTTCATTAGAAGCTCTGTTGGAATTCTTAAGAACGTCCAAAATACCGGTACGTTATCGATTAGTAATTTGAATATGAATCAAATTTTTGACAAGTAAAATACGGAAAATAGCCAATATATATGGGAAAAATGATGAAACGTTGAAATGAGAATTAATGAGCTTGAACATACTGAATTGGTTGACTGCTGTTGGGCGTGAAAGACGATTTTGAATAATATCGAATACTTCGACATTTTCGCTCTTGAAATTTATTCAAATGAAAAAATAATTATGCTTATTACCTAGTTTAGTTCAGTTTTGGTCTTGTCCTCGTCGTCGTCATCGTAATTGCCAGAACGTCTTCTTTTTCTTCATCATATTCATCGGCATCTCTTGTTTGCTATTGGATTCGATTGAATGAAATACCCGATAATCATTGACCGTTTCACATGCGAGTTGAATCAGTGAAAAGATATGGAATTACGATTGTCTCAACAGAGACAACACTATCGAAATTCTTTACTCTTCTCTACACCATTCTTCATGATTTTAATTGTTTTTCTGTTTGTTTGTGAGTAATTCGGCTGAGTGCAGCTTGACTCGGTTCGCTCAGATGCTTTCTTTCTTTCATCCTGCATGGACACGGCATTCAACCGTAAGAACACATTGTTCGCGTTCCTAGTCATGTTACTGTTTTGAGATCGAACATTGCATTTACGAGACGTTCATTCGTTCGTTCGTTTGTTCGGCATTAGCATACTTGGTTTCGCACTCAATGAATCTTCGATATACAACGCGTGTGTTGTAATATGGGAACGGAAGAAGTCATCGCAGCGTGCTCATGCTCACAAAACTAATGTGTATAAATTACATGCCACTTAAAAAATGCTTCGGTTTTTTTCTTCGTTGCTGCTACTGTTGTTGTTGCTTGTTTCGTTAAAACATTGCAAATAGTATTGTTTCTTGGCCATTCATTTAGCCGTGCTTCCTTCCGCTACTATTTACACGACGATGAATTGGTTTCTTGATTCTTCAACAGAACTGATAGCACACAAGATGCGATAGTTTCGGCTCATTCTTTGGACATAGTCTCATGCTGCTGCAAACGATGATGGCAGTCGTGGCGAAGTGGTGGTGGATCAATGGCAATGGCAGTGCAATGATGATTGTAATTGAAATTCGTATTTTCTTTGTTGTTGTTGTTACTGTTGTCGTGGTATTCTTATTTGTGACGAGATTGCACTTACGTAATCAAATTAGCCCGTCGAGATGTTAGAAGGTCTAACGCTGTAGTTTAGCACATAATACGGCGTACATGGTGTAACGACCGGAAATTTACATCCATTCTATCTAACAAGATTCCACTCATCACAACAAATGCTATAAAATGTGCGCAGTTATACTACGTGCTGTGGCCCATACGCTACGGTGGCGGTGTTGACAGTGGCAGCAGCCTGTCGTCATCGTCGTTTTCCACGGCGAACTACAACGACCGGGCAAAATGCATGAATGTTCACGCTGAGTGAGCGAGTGTGTATATCTGGAATCTTCACTCCATTCAATTCAAGTCAAAATGCGTAAATATCATTTCCTGTTATTTTCTTTTCCATTCTTGTGATTATCATGATGCATCGTCAGCAGCAAACGATTCACGTTTTCATTTCGATCTATGAAGAAAACTATGTGCGCACATGCACATTGCCTAGTTAGTCAGGTTTCTTCGAAACAATAAGCACGTAAACCGCATTTGCGAAAGCAAAATGAAGAAGAAGAAGCATCGCCAGCAGCAGATGATGATGAAGATGAAAAAAAAAATTGCGATTGGATTCATGGTCTCATAAATAAAATAATTAAAATATTTCAATAAACGTTCCGGCTACAATAATTGCCAGATACATGCTGGGATTGCCCAACGTGTGCCAGTTTTTGTCGAGCCTCCGCTTCCTTACACACACACACACACACACACACACACACACACACACACACACACA